TCACAGCAATAAGAAAATTAAATTTCACAAACTATTTGAGAAGTTTGTGAAGTGTGGAGCCATGTATACTTTTCTATAAAATAAGTCAGCAGATTAGATATAGGGAGGACATACTCATCAGAAGTAGGACAGAAGAACTATTTTGAAATAGTCTGAGACCATTCACCTTAGAAACATATACCCCTTCACAAGTGTAGAATGGTCTCTGACTCTTAATTACACTCTCATGACACCAGAATAGGAAGAGAGGAAAAACTCTCTGTGTGTCTGTGTGTGTGTGTGTGTCTGTGTGTCTGTGTGTGTGTGTCTGTGTGGAGAGAGAGAGACTGACTTCAGAATATCTCTATAAAGTTCACTTATATGGACTATCTCATTGTCTGAGGATAGTAGATAAATGAGACATCACAACTATTCTTTGTTACATATGCAGAGGATTTTTTTTTTTTTTAATTTGCCAGTTAATATTAATATTAGCGTCAGGTAAATTCCATAGATGGTTTTGTTGGTAATGTTGGAGAAGATTTAATTTTTTCTCTTATAATTAAGAATGTATTTTTATGCTGAAAGATAGTTGAGGGCAAAAATAGAACACATTTGCATTTTGTTTGTAGCACAAACTAGGCTGTTAGGCTAGCTTCCCCCCCACCGCCACTTGTGCACTTTGAAGGGTATTTTTGTAATCATTCCTTCTTTACAAAATTTTAGACTTTCCAGCTTTGGAATACCCTTTTCTGCTTCTTCCAGCATTGACTCCATAATTTAGCTACTTGAAAAGATATGAAGACTTCATTTCTTTAAGTGGAATCCAAAATTTAGCTTTGAAAATATTGCTTTGTTTGGTGTTGTTATAGTTGACATTATTAATGTGGCCATTAATAACATGTTTATAATGAAAGAAAAATAATGCTTTGCTAATTATTAGTTTCAGATCTTTAAGAATTATGATTAATATTTTATTAGTTTTCTATTAACTTATCATTCAAAGAGGTGATTTATTACGACTCATAATAAAGTAAAATACTTATCACTGCCATGGGCTTTTCATATATATTTTGTGGTACTTTATCTTCTTTTTCAAATAGATTTCCTTTCTCCTGGAATACCTGTCCTCTTTGTCCGGGCTTCTGCAATCATGTTTATTGGTAGATCCAGACCTTGTGATTCAGGATGAGCTTCTGAAACCTTTTATCACTAATATTATTGGAGTTCTCACCATATGCACTGAAGATGTGTTAGGTAAGCTTAATTTTTTTTAGTTTAGGATGGAGGTAAATAATACTGAGGAAAACAAAACTCTTACATGGCCCCAGATATTCAGTTCAAGGTTACTTTTTGGGTTGTTTTTGCCAGTGTTTTGGAAGGCTTTGATAATGTGTTTTATAGCTGGGATGCTTTTAAGTGGATCCAGGAGAGCACTTGAGGCAAATGTGTAGTATAAAAAAGGACCAGCCCTGTGCTGTCAGTTTAAATGAGGGCAAAGCTCTCTATGTCATGTTAGAAAGTTCATTGAGTTCTGGGTATCAGTTATTCTTATGAATTACGGCTGAGGCCAGATGACCTACTAATCAGTCATTTGCAATAGAAAGTATAAGGCTATGTAGCACATAATACCAGTTTCCAAGGTTCTAAATTATTGGAAAATATTCTATGATGAAAAGTTGGATGTAATGCTCTAGTAGTAGAGAAAATTAAAATAGTGTAGGATCTTTTCAAAATATTCTATAATAATTGTTTTAAAAGTTTAAGTAGTTTGTAATGAAGTAATTGAACATTTGGTAGTTCTGGGCTTTCTATTCATTCTTATTAGTCCTTTAAATTACATGGATTTGCTTGGTTTTAGGTCTGGAAAATGAAGTGCGTTATATCCAGCAAAGCAATCTCATCAGTGTTAAAATAATCCCAATGCTAGAGGAGCAGTAATGCCTTACTTGGAAATTTTACATATGGCAGTGATCCTATCTAAACTTTTTAGGTTAGACTATGCAATCTCAGCAAGCTGATATCACCCCTGCACCTTCAGGAGCAAAAATTGATTCTTGGAAGAAGGTGGTGAGGCAAACAACCTTAGATATTGCAGTGGCTCGTGGCCTCCAGCACAACTCTACCCAATAAAATCTTTTTACTTAGTATTGGATTCTTCTTGTTGGATTTTATTGGGTATCCTTCGAGAAGCATTGACATTGAGTTCACAGGAGATACTCAAGACATATATATATATATACATATATATATATATATATATATATGTATATATATATATATGTAATCTCCTGTGAACTCAATGTCAATGCTTCTCGAAGGATACCCAATAAAATCCAACAAGAAGAATCCAATACTAAGTAAAAAGATTTTATTGGGTAGAGTTGTGCTGGAGGCCACGAGCCACTGCAATATCTAAGGTTGTTTGCCTCACCACCTTCTTCCAAGAATCAATTTTTGCTCCTGAAGGTGCAGGGGTGATATCAGCTTGCTGAGATTGCATAGTCTAACCTAAAAAGTTTAGATAGGATCACTGCCATATGTAAAATTTCCAAGTAAGGCATTACTGCTCCTCTAGCATTGGGATTATTTTAACACTGATGAGATTGCTTTGCTGGATATAACGCACTTCATTTTCCAGACCTAAAACCAAGCAAATCCATGTAATTTAATGTATGTGCACACAAGACATATATATGCACACAAGATTAGTGCACACAAGTGTGATGGATAGATGGCTGCAGTTGAAGGACTTTTGATTGCTTGATTATAAAGTTATATGGCAAGACATGGTCTGTGTTTCTTAGCTGCTGTTGGCTGCCTTGGGTTGCTTTTTATTGATCCTCTTGGTTTTGTGTATGACTTGGGCTTTGAAAATTGAATAAAAATTGTATATAATGACGTTTCAGTCAATGACAGACCACCTATATGACGGTAGTCCCATAAGATGATAATGGCTATACCATATAGCCTAGGTATGTATCAGGCTATACTATCTAGGTTTGTATAAGTACTCTATGATGTTGATACAATGATAAAATTGCCTAATGAAGCATTTCTCAGAACATATGCCTGTCATTAAGTGAAACATGACTACATTTCATTACTTAATTATATAGAAATTATTTAACCCATTGTTCATTATGTCAAGTGCTGAAAGGAAAAAATGTCAACCATATCTATATGTATATTGAGCAGCTGGTTAAATTAAAAGTTACTTTTTCAACATGACTACATTTCATTACTTAATTATATAGAAATTATTTAACCCATTGTTCATTATGTCAAGTGCTGAAAGGAAAAATGTCAACCATATCTATATGTATATTGAGCAGCTGGTTAAATTAAAAGTTACTTTTTCATATCTAGCAAAAGGTAAAAATAAGTTTACTAAAATTATTTTTTAAGAAATTAAGTTTTTAATTTATTTTTCCTGGAAAAATAATAGTTTTGAATGATTTTATAAAAAAATGGATTATATTGTTATTGTGTGAATAGCACAAATGAATTATACAAATTGCTAATTCATGTATATCATTTGATACATTATAATGTGTATATTATAAAAGTTATTCAGCAAGTATAGTTATAAAGTTAAGTTAAATGTTACTAGCTTTTTAATTTTATTTAACTTTCACCTTAAATATTTTATTTGGTCATTTGTAGGCCTGTATTAAATTTAAAAAGTAAGCTTTATATGTCATCTTTTTATGTATAAAGTGCAGACACGGGGGTACTTCAAAAAGTTCGTGGAAAGATTCATGTTATCTTTCAATTCTATTTTTCCACAAACATTTTGAAGTACCATCATATATGTATAGTATATAAACAGATATATCTGTGAAATTACAATTTCATGGGGATGGCAATGAGGAAAGATATCTAAAAAAAAAGCTGTTAATGATAAAATGATTGAGAAACACCAAGGATTGCTGTAATCCAAGCTTCCCTAGAAAGTGCTATTTTTAAATACTTCATGGGTGCTGCAGAACACCTAGAGGGAAGTATTCAGTTTACTTTGTACTGGGGTTTGACAAACTCCATTACAAAGTGTCCTCAGAAATCTACTGCTGTCCAGCTTTCATTTACCCAAGTACAGAGATGGGAAAATGTGCCCCTTTCCTAGAAGGTTAATTGCTACATTCCTAGCCAGAGGCAAAGCTTCAGAATCCTCTTTTGTTGTCATAATTTTTTGAGTGTGTGTGTGGGGTGACACTCTTTTTGGTTCTTCAGAGCAATTCCTCTTTCTTTTTTGCTTTGATCTTAGCAAAACATATTTTCCTTTTCACATCTGCACTAAGGTGATACAAGGGGTAAGGAAAATAGGAGTCTTCTCTCTTTTGTTCTTAGTCTAGCTAATGGTTCTTCAGTTTTGTTTATCTCTTCAAAAAACCCACCTTTCATTGTATTTGGGGTTTTTTTGGTTTGTATTTTGTTTACTTCTGCCCTGATCTTTATTATTTCTTTTTGTCTACTGATTTTGGTATTGGTTTGTTATTGCTTTTCTAGTTCTTTGAGGTGTAGTTGTTTATTTGAAATCTTTCCACTTTTTGATGCAAGTATCTATTGTTATAAACTTCCCTCTTTGTATTGCTTTTGCGCATTCCATAGGTTTAATATGTTGTTTCTATTTTCATTTGTTTCAAAGGATTATTTTTATATTAATTTCTTTATTGACCCATTAGTCATTCAGGAGCATGTTTAATTTTGATGTATTTGTACAGTTTCTAAAGTTCCTCTTGTTGTTAATTTCTAGTTTTATTTGGTTGTGGTCTGAAAAGATATGTGATATGATTTTGATTTTTCAAAATTTGTTGAGGCTTATTTTATGGCCTGAATAAGAAAAAAAGAGAGAAGACCTAAATGAATAAAATTACAAATGAAACAAGAGACATTACATTTGATACCACAGAAAAACAAAAAATCATTAGAGTCTGTTGTGAACAACTATATGCCAACCAATTGGAAAACCTATAGGAAGTGAATAAATTCCTGGACACAAGAATAAACTAAGAAGAAATAGAAAACCTTAACAGACCAATAATGAGTAATGAGATTGAAACATTAATAAAAAGTCTATCAACAAAGAAAAACCCAGAACCAGATAGCACTGCCGAATTCTACCAAACTTTAAGAGAACAAACACCAGTTCTTCTCAAAATATTCAAAAAAATTGAAGAGGAGGGAATTCTTGCACACACTCTATGAGTCCAGCATTACCCTGATACAGAATCAGACAAGGACAAGAAAACTATAGGCCAATATTCCTGATTTAACATAGATGCAAAAATTCTAACCTAGCAAACTAAATCCAGCAGCACATCAGAAAGATTATATACCATGGTCAAGTGGGATTTATCCCAGGGATGCATGAATGGGGTCAACATACGTAATCAGTAAATGTGATACATCACATCAACAGAATGAAGGACAAAAGCCATTTGATTATCTCAATATATTCAGGAAAAACATTTGATAAAAAATTTAACATCCCTTCATGATAAAAAAAACTCAACAAATTAAGTATAGAAGGAAAGCACTTCAACACAATAAAGACTCTATATGACAAACCCGCAGCTAATATCTTACTGAATGGGGGAAAGTTGAAAGCTTTTTCTCTAAGAACAGGAACATGACAGGGATACCCACTTTCACCACTCTTTCAACATAGTGCTAGAGATCCTAGCCAGAGCAATTAGAAGAGAAAGACATAAAGGGCATTCACATTGGAAAAGAGGAAGTTAATTTGTTTCTGTTTGCAGACTACATGATCATATATAGAGAGAAACCCAGAGACTTCACCAAAAAACTTTTAGAAGCGATAAATGAATTCAGTAAAGTTGCAGAATACAAAATCAACGTACAAAAGTCAACAGTGTTTCTATACACCAAGAATGAACTAGCAGAAAAAGAAATCAATAAAACAACCCCATTTACAATAGCTACAAAAAATGTACCTAGGAATAAATTTAACCAAGGAGATGAAAGATTTCTACAATCAAAATTGCAAAACACTTAAGAAAAGGCTTTAAAAGCAAGGCAACAAAAGCAAAAACAGACAAATGGGATGAAAAAAATTAAAGAGGACCCAAAGTGATGTACAGATTTAAGTAATCCCTGTCAAAATATCAACACCAGTCTTCACAGAAATAGGAAAAAGAATCCTAAAATTTATGTGGAACAACAGAAGATCCCAGTAGCCAAAGCAATCTTGAGTAAAAAGAACCAAGCTGGAGGCATTTTACCACTTGACTTCAAAATATACTGCAAAGCTATAGTAACCAGAACAGCATGGTCCTGTCATTAAAACAAACACATGGACCAATAGAACAGAATGGAGTGCCCCCAGAATAAACCAATGGATCTACAGCTTTTCAACAAAGGCATCAAACACATACATTGGGGAAAGGACAACCTCTTGAATTAATGGTGGTGAGAAAATTAGATGTCCATATGGTAGGGAATGAAACTAGACCCCTGACTCTCAGTACATAGAAAAATAAACTCAAAACAGATTAAAGACTTAAATGTAAGACCTGAAACTATAAAACTACTAGAAGAAAACATGGGGGAAACACCTCAAGACGTTGATCTGGGAAAAGATTTTATGAAGAATTTAAAAGCATAGGCAACAAAAGTAAAAATGGACAAATAGGACTACATCAAGCTAAAAAGCTTCTGAACAGCAAAGGAAATAACAGAGTGAAGAGGTAACCAGCAGAATGGAAGAAAATATTTGCAAATTATTCATCCAACAAGCAATCACTATCCAGAATATACAAAGAACTCAAAGATCTTACTCAACAGCAAAGACAGCCTAACAGCTTTATTTAAAAAATGGGCAAATGAGCTGAATAGACATTTCTCAAAAGAAAACATACAGATCACCAACAGGCATATGAAGAAATGTTCAACATCACTAATCAGGGAAATGCAAATCAAAACCACAATCATATATTATCTCATGCCAGTTAGAATGGCTATTATCAAAAAAAAAAAACATGCTGGCAAGTATGTGGAGAAAAGAGAACTCTTATACACTGTTGGTGGGAACATAAATTAGTATAACTATTATGCCAGTTAGAATGGCTATTATCAAAAAAAAAACATGCTGGCAAGGATGTGGAGAAAAGAGAACTCTTATACACTGTTGGTGGGAACATAAATTAGTATAACTATTATGGAATACAATGTGGAGGTTCTTGAAAAAAACTACAAATAGAGCTATAATTTGATCCAGCAATGTCACTACTCGGTGTTTATCCAAAGGAAAGGAAATCATTATATCAGAGAGATAGTGGCCCCTTCCCCCATGTTTATTGCAGCACTATTCACAGTAACCAAGATATGGAATCCACCTAACTATAATTTGATCCAGCAATGTCACTACTCGGTGTTTATCCAAAGGAAAGGAAATCATTATATCGGAGAGATAGCGGCCCCTTCCCCCATGTTTATTGCAGCACTATTCACAGTAACCAAGATATGGAATCCACCTAATTATGCATCAACAGATGAATGGATAAAGAAAAGGTGGTATACATACACAGTGGAATACTACTCAGCCATAAAAATGCATGAAATCCTGTCATTTGGGGCAATATGGGTGAGTCTGGAGGACATTATGTTAAGTGAAAGAAATCAAGAACAGAAAGATAAATACTGCATGTTCTCATATGTCAGAGCTAAAAATGTTGAGCTCATGGAAGTGGATAGTAAAATTGGGGTTACTAGAGGTTGGGAAGGGGAGGGGGAAGGGGAGGGAGGATAGGGAGAGGTTGATTAATGAATACAAGCTTACAGCTAGATAGGACGAATAAGTTCTAATGTGGTATAGTAGTGCTAGGTGTTTATAAATATCAATAATTGTGTATTTTCAAATGGCTAGAAGAGAGGAGTTCCAGTGTTCTCAACACAAACGATAAATGTTTTTGGTGATGGATATGTTAATTATCCTGACTTGATCATTACACATTGTATTCATGAATCAAAATATTATTCTGTACCCCATAAATATGTACAATTATTATGTGTCAATTAAAATTTTTAAAAAAGATTTAATAGGAAAAAAGGTAGGTATTTATTGTTATTGTTTAATATTAATAGTTGTGACCTCATGGCTTTTTCAAAAGACAGTAATAATTTGTATATCCACTAGCAATAGAAAGTTCCACCACCCCACATTATTCATTAAGACATTAATCATTCATGAGAAAATTTTAGTGTTTTGTCATTTAGAATAATGTTAGTCATTAGTCTTCATTATATCTAAGTGGTTTATTTCTACTTTTGTCTTACTTAGTGTGTGCATTTGAATTGCTGCTCTCAGCATCTGTACATATGGTGGTACAGTTTCTCCTCTCAACTTGCTAGGATAATGAATTGACAAATTTCCTGATGTTGAACCATCTTTGCATTTCTGGAATAAAACCTCCATGGTCATAAGTTGATACGCATTCAATACCTTGCTGGATTCTTTGTGTCAATATTATACTTAAAATGTTTATATTTAATAAAAAACAAAAATAGAAAACTTACTTTTATACAAGTATCACAAACAATGATATTTTTTAATAATGTGCCCAAGTAGTTCTGAAGTTATGGCTTAACACTTGATTTGTTACACTTTCTGATTGCTGTTGAGTATGCTTTAAAAATAAGAGGGTTTGTGAGTGTGTCTGTGTGTAAGAGGGTGGAGTGGAGGTATATTTAGGAAGCAATGGAAGCAAGAAGTTAATTGAAATATATTTTGAATAACGTCAAATAATATTTGTCTTCATTTGACAAGTGTGTACCTCTTATTTTAGTGTAGTGAAATGCCTTTGGTGAGTTTTGTATTTTGAAAGGTTCTTTTTTTCTTTGTGTTAATAACTTGAAACGTTTGATTAATTTTATAGATGTAGAGTTAATATCAGCTTTTTATCACACATGGACACATTTATTTAACCTTCTGGCCACACTCCTGAGAAAAGCTGGTGATGTCTCTCTTCCATTTGTTACCATGGCTCTGGCTAAGCACTGGTCATCAATGATTGGTAAGAAGATACTGTGTCACAGACTTAGGTCTTTCTGCTAATGAAAATTAAGATAATTATCATACCTGATCAGATGTGTAACTTATCTAAAATTGAGTAATTATGGCATGGCATATGACAGAGATACCAGGGTGCTTGCTTTGAGAAACTTACAATGCTTTTAAGGAGCCCCCCAAAAATGCATTTTTGATTAATTGAAATGTATTTCAAGATACCGTAAAAACAAGTAGGAAAAGCCTGTGGTTTTATGAAGATACATATGATAGGGTTATAAAACAATGACATATATTTTCTTGTATTGGTATCTTTTCTGGCATATATACACTGTATGTATGTAAATCTGCATATATAAAATCTCATATACATGATAACATGGAACATTATAATAAAAATACCATCTTGTTTCAAGACATCAGGATTTTCTTACAGCACAAAAATGCTAAGAATACAGTATAATTATTTTTATAAGATGTTTTCCATATAAAATAGTTGTCCACTAAAATAAACGATTTTTAAATGATCTTTAATTTTTCATAGTCTTTAATTTTTCATAGTCTTCTGTTCTAAATCTTAGCATAGTGAGAAACCTTTTTTTATGTAAATGTTTATAACTAACATTTAACATACCTTTTAAAATAATCTGTTTAAATGTATTCAGAATTGAGTTCTTTCAAGTTTCCAAGTTATCTAGTAATTCAACTGACTGATTTTTTAACATTTATTTTATCTTTCATCAGTCTGTAAACTTAAATATATGATACAGTTTTTAACAAGAGTGGTAGTTTTGAAGTAAGATTTATGAGGAAATACATATTCAACAAGAAATAGAATTGTTAGTTTTCTGGATATAGGAGTTCTGAGCCTACCATAAGGAGTACAGTGTTCATGTTGGAGATCATTATTTTATTAAAGGAGATAGAAATTGAAAGAGATTGACTTAATGAGAGATTGACATTGAGATTTTCCTCTTGCATTCATTGGGGGAAGATTAGTTTGCCACCTGAATTACCAATAATATAAAGCAAAATGCTACTCACATGAGGTACTGGAGCTACCTAGTTAAATCTGGCCTGCTACCTGTTTTGGTAAATAAAATTTTATTGGAGCACAGCCACACTCATTCATTTATTTATTGCCTATGGCTGCTTTCATGCTACAACAGTTGAGATGAATAGTTGTGATAAAGACAATGATCTGCGAAGCATAAAGTATTTACTCTCTGGCCCTTTACAGAAAAAGTTTGCAGAACTCTACCTGACACTGTTTACCTGACACTATTTCCCTAGTGGTAAATAAATACATATTAAATTCAAAACTTTATTACAAAATATACACAGTTTTATATAATAATAGTGCTAATCAAAAATAATTTCCTAAATAAACCATTTTGATAAAATTAATGTTAATGAAAACATAACTAATAAAAATGATCATTGATATTCCTTACCATGTTGTTATTTTTGTTTTTTGTTTTTTTATCAACTTCCATCCCATGTACCCATATACATTTAAAATATCTTATGGTCATTCTATAACTTATGTTACCTATAACAGTCTTTTCTCAAACTTGACTAATATTTGGACATCATTTAAATGAACGTAATTCTTATGAAACCCTAGTGCTAACTACATTTTTTTTTATGTTACTTAAATTAGTATAACCCTAAATCTAAGTAGAAATTCTTATGGTTATAATTCTCACACAGGAGAAATAAAAAATAATATAAAAATCAAACATAAAATTCAATAGTTATCAAGTTAATAAAATTAATGTAGTACAACAAATACTACTTTGATTGAACTAAATCAGTGCTCACAACAGGAAATTAATAATGAATGATTCAATGTCAATTTGGCTTGACTATTCTTTCCACTTGGTATTATGTTTGCAAATCAGTTCATAACCACTCATGTACTATTTGAACTACTATGAAACCTTTGTACCTACATCATGCCAACTCTGCATACTAAGTCTTGCTTTTAAGTATTATTTGGCACCAACTTGTTTGAAAACAGAAACAATCTCACTTATCATGTGGTAATGTAGAAGATCCAGAGTATAGTTATAGTACTTTTTTTTAAGGTTAGTACCGAAATCAAAATTAAAAAGTTAAAAATTTTTGAAACTCTATGTATACCTGTAGACCCCAAAGGATCAAAACTCATCTACGTATAATCCTCTTATTTGGGGTCTTAGCAAATATTATGTATATGCACATTTGTAGGCTCTCTCTCTCTCATGTAAAGAAAAAACCCATATAATGAAAATTAGACTCCTTGACTTACTGTGTCATCTTATTACTGACTGTTTAAGATTTTTAAACGCTCGAGTTATTCTTACTATACTTGAACTATTGATAGCTTTAATAGTAATAAGAAAGCTGTAAACTTAATCAAATCAATTTGATTATCTTTGTTTAATTTTGAAGAAATTTTCAAACATTTTCATCTGAAATTATTCTTTTAGATATGTTCTGCAAATGTGTGGGCTTGTCTGTCACATGCCCTACCCTGTTTACTGCCAGCCTGCAATTTTTTTCTATTCTCTTGACTGAGGAAGCAAAAAGGGGTCTTCAGGGTAAGGACAAAGCAAGTTTGTGTCACAGTCCAACAATGGCTTCACTTCTTGATAAAACTCAGGAAAATCAGAAATCACTAGAACGACTTCATGAAGTAATTCTTCAGGTATGTGATTTTTTTGTTTTTTGAAAGCTTTATTTAATGTTTAAATTAATTGAATTTCAGTCTTGGTCTAGCTAAAAAATTTTTTAGTCATTTGAATGAAAAAGTAATTAATGCTCATTATGACTGTTTAAATAATACAAAAGTATATAAACTTAAATAACTATCTCCCCTCCAGTCTCACTGCTCTGATGCTGACTAGTTTCTTTAATGACTATGATGTAAAAATTTGCTGTGAAATAGTACTAATCTAAATCCAGCAGTTTAGCAAAACAGCGTTCTATATTATGACCAAAGGGTATATTTCAGGAATGCAGCTATAATTCAGAACTTATTGCCCTTTTAATGCTATGTCTGCATCTCTGAAAATATATTCAAATTGATGTTTGATTTATATAAATGGGCCATATATTTTTGTGGATGGTTAATGTGTATAGAAGTAGGCAGACTTGGTTGGTACACTTGTGAGAAAATACCCCCTTTCCACACCCTGCTGCCTGTTCTGTCTTATAAACTTGTTTATACAATCTAAAAATATAAGCCAAGAATTTTATTCATCAAAAAACATTTTAAAATCACTAATATATTTTTTCATAAGTAGTTTAACAATTAAAAAAACTAGAAGTGTTTCCTAAGTTAATGTTGCATATTGTTTTTTACAAATAGGAATATTACTAGACTTTTCAATATTAAGAATCATCTTTTTAATAATCTATTTTATGAGTTTTGTCTTCTCATGGAATGGTTGGAAAGTAGTATAATTGTGAATTGTGAAGAATTTGCTTCAGCTTCCCTATCAGCCGGGGATATTTTACAAAGACAGAAGGTTGTTCCCATCTTCCGATTTGTTGCAGTCTCTTTTGCTGCTTAGAATTTGGACATTTTCGCCCCTTTTCTGTCTGAGAGTCATGGTCATACAGATATTTTTGGTATGACCACCTGTACATTACATCAGCCTTGATTATGTTGAGATGCAGAAAAGGCCTGTAGGAAGAGAGGAGAATATGCTCCCTGGTCCATAACTGGAAGCTGTCCTGTGGAGGGTGTCAGAGGGCTCCTCAGGGACCTTTGTCTCCCCTGCCGTACAGAATCTGGTTGCCTTTCCAGCACAGTTGAGAAACCTGATGAGGAGTCCCCCACATTTTCTCATCTGTCTTCAGCATCTCCCTCTGAAGCCCGGATCTCTAGGGGAAAAGTGGGCCTCACAGGGTTCCTGTAAAAGCCACTTTTTCTTGGAGGCCACAGCTTCTCTGTAGCTACTACCTTATTCTTATTCCATTCAACTCTTCTTAGTTGAAAACAAAACCTGGATGTTTTCCCAGTTGTCTCATTCCCCAGCAGAACAGACTTTATTCCGCCAATGATTAACTGTCTGATTTAAAGAGTGCTATAAGCAGGAAGACTCAAAATCACAACTTTTCACAAGTCTCCCATCCCCACCTCCTGATTCCATTTAATTATTAATTTCCTAGTTTTTGCTTTGGTGGAGCACTTTTCTCCTGGGAAAAGGCCTTTGTGCTTGTCAGCATGCTTTCCTCATCAGAGAATTTAACTGACCTCCCTCAGAGAAGAGTGCTGTGAGGACAATGTGCTTGGCCCATTCTCCCCTGCCTATGTCAAGTGCCAGATAGATCTGGCAGCCTGGCTCCTCATGGGCTCTGTGGTTCCTGCAGCCTCCTGCTGGACCTGGTGAAATTGAAAGACTTCCAGCCAGGCTGTGCCAGACCTATTTTATTTCTTAACTATTTTCTCTCGTTAGTGGTGCTGTGCTTCAAGGGTCCAAGATTAGACTCATGATAAGTATGGATCTGTGTAGGGTGATGAGCCAGCTTATGATAGTGTACATAGGAAAAACTCTGTGCCAGAAGAATTGGCAAAATTTACATTGCCTTTATTTTTCCCTAATACTATGTAATATTCATTATAAAAGTTATTGCTCATAATCTTTTGATATTACTTACTTGGCCAAAGAAAATGAGGTATTCTGTAGCCACAGGATATCTCAATGATTTTCCTAATGACTAGCTAATCTTCCTCACCATTTCTTCCAAAGTAGAGAAGATTAAAAGAGTATTCTATGTAGATATGGATATATTAGCCAGTTACTTAAACCATGTTTCCTAATAAATCATGCTCTTCATGTTCATGTTAACAGTAGAATTTGTATATATAGCATTTGTTAGAAGGACACAGGCAAGTTTAAGACAAAGGAAGTGAAGAGAGGGGAATTGTACCCATGGCATACTCAGGAGAAAATGTGTGCCTGATATAAGGCAGGGCAGTTATTAATGCTCGTTAAACTACAAACACTATTTTCTTTGTCCTACGGAAAGATGATATGCAAATTAAAATATTATTAGAATACATTAAATATCAATCATAAATAATATGTGTATCTTACTATATGTCATGTAGGTTGTGCGTTGTGCCACGTGGTATATAAAGCAAACTACAGTATTTAGATTATCAGAAGAAACAGTATTCTAAAATTTATATCCTTTGAAGGGGTATTTAAATTCTCTGTAAAGCCATACTCAAAAAAAAAATTAGATGCGGGACCTTATGCAGATGACTTAACCTCTTGTGATTCAGTTCTTCAGATGCAAAATGAGAGGATTATATTGCATTATTGTTAAATTTTAGCTGCTTCTGAAATTCTCCATCCTTCTAATAAATTACTATATTGGAACTTAAGTTAAAATATCTTGGCAGAGTATCTTTTAAGTGGCAGTTTTACAGCACTATCCCATGGGGGATACATGTGGAAATGATGCATATTTATATCTTAAGTCATGTGTAAGCTTATTTTTGTCTTAAGTACATTTTGAGGTGGTTCAGAGTTTGAATATTCTCAAAAAATTATTAGCTGTCTGTTGCCCGTAAAATATTGAATACATTTGACTTTGTGGAAATTTTACCTTTTATAGTAGCCCCCCCTCCACAATCCATGGTTTCATTTTCTGCAGTTTCAGTTACCCATGACCTGAAAATATTAAATGGAAAATTCCAGAAATAAACAATTCATAAGTTTTAAATTGCACACCGTTCTGAGTAGCATGATAAAATCTTGAGCCATCCCTCCTCGTCCTTCTCTGTCCCTGCCCACACAAGTCACCCACCCCTTTGTCTAGCACATCCACGCTGTATATATATATACTATGTGCCCTTCAGTTACTTCATAGCTGTCTCAGTTACCAGATCAGCAGATCACACTCTGTCCCTGCCCACACAAGTCACCCACCCCTTTGTCTAGCACATCCACGCTGTATATACTATGTGCCCTTCAGTTACTTCATAGCTGTCTCAGTTACCAGATCAGCAGATCACAGGAAGAGTGAGCACAATGCAAGAAGATATTTTGAGAGAGAGAGAGACCACATCCACATAACTTTTACTATAGGACATTGTTATAAATGTTCTATTTTATTATTAGTTACTGTTATCTCTTACCGTGCCTAATTTATAAATTAGACTTTATCCAAGGTATGTACGTATAGGAAAAAACATAGTATACATAGGGTTCAGTATTATCTGTAGTTTTGGAAATGTATCCCCTGTGGATAAGCAGGGAGTAACAAAGTCAATGTGTTTCATTGACAAATAGATATAGATAACAAGATTAGTAAAACTCTCTAATGTAATAGGTTTTGCCTGTAATTGATATGTTGAATTTTTACTCCTTATGTGTTGATGAATGTTTACAGTAATTAAAAAGACTATTTTTTACATTAAGTATCTTTTGGAAAGAAAGAAAAAAGTCTTGACCTAAGATTCCCTAGATCACTTAATTTCAAAAGGGATTGATCTAGAAAGGGCATAAAATTTAGATAAATTTCATCGAGTTCTCTTATTTTCTTTCTACCTGTGGTTGATAAAAAAAAAAGACAAATTATTTCTTGCTCTGTAGCCTCTTGATATATTTTTTCCCTTTTTATGTATTCACATTACCCAATAGCTAGTTATCTGTCCCTTGAGCTTGTTCTCAGCCTTCCTACTTTCAGGCTTCTCACACTTTAAGCCGTGTCCATCTGCCCTGTGTACAGATGCTCAGGCTACTTCAGTCTGCCATAAGTGCTACATGAAAAGCCTTACCTCTTCCCACTCCCATCCCCCAATTACTACATATAGTAGGTAGTTAATGCTTTTCAGTGGGATCAACTTAGTTTTTCTCAGATTGCTATTATATGCAGGTTAAATAATGATTTGTCTATGAGGGTGATTTTCCTATTAATGGTGAGCATTATAGACAGATTAGAATTTTCATTGGTAAGTATGATCGTACTCCAGTTATATTCATTTCTATAAGAGTCAAAAATATTAAGAAATTATTTTTTTGGAAAAATATGTTATATGACAGGTATGTGTGACTGTAGAAATGAAAGGTGGAGAGAACCAAATCACCCAAGATACATGGGTATGTTAGGTGGAAATGGAGGGAGGGGAATGTGTCATCTGAAAGGAGAAAGGAGGAATTTGATGACAGTTCTCTTGTAGAACAGTTTTCCAAGGATCTGTTTTAAATAGTTACATATGTACATATATGCCCTAGTGAGTTTAAGTGCATGAACTTGCTATGTGTTAATACTAAATAAAGCATTTTGTGTAAATGATGAATCTTTGAGAATGATTGTTGGTCTTTTCCATATTATAAATTTCTTTTACAGCCTTATCCACATAGCATTCTCAAATATTAATAATTTATCAAATTCCATTGAATTTCGTATCATAGTTGAAACTTAACAATACCTTTTAAGTAGAACAAGTCTTTTATTCACAACAGTTTTGCTCCAGATTAAATTTTTTTTTCAAGGCAGTTCGATCTATATTCTCTGCAGTGCTATGAAGGAAAATCCTCCAAAGATATCCTGAAAAGAGTTGCTACAAATGCATTGATGTCACTTCTGGCTGTCAGCAGAAGAGCACAGAAACATGCTTTGAAAGGTCAGCCACACAATACATCAACTGTTTTTATGGCGTATTGTCAATTCATGTATTTTGCTGCTTCATCATTTTAATTTTCTTTGGACTCAAAATGTAAAGATCTTATAATCTTAGTGTTACTAAAAAAAAAATAGATTTTTAAAAATATGAAAACAGTAAACATGCATTACTTTTTTTTTTTTTTGGTCCTTTTTGTGACCGGCTGCACCTCGCTCAGCCAGTGAGCGCATTGCACCGGCCATCCCTATATAGGATCCGAACCTGCGCCACGGGCTCGGTCCAAACATGCATTACTTTTAAAATAAAAAAGATTATATATGTAGATAGTTTTTTGTTTAATGTGTAATGATTCTTACTCTAGAGAGTCTATATGTAAATATTAGAGAAGTTATAAAAAAGTAATATGTTATTCAGTTTCATGATAAATATTAGTATCCGCAAGCACATTCTGCAACATGAAAAAAAATAAAGCGACATAGTTTTGGTGGTAAAAACAACTAAAAATGACAGCATCAACTGATCCTATTTTCATATAAATTTCCCCTCTAGAGTGTTGTAATTTCTCATCTGGACATTAGAGAACACAGGTCTGAGAGCTGAAAGAGAATAACAGCAACATCAAATGCATTAATTTCAACTGTGGTTTGCTACTAAAATAAATTATGCATGTCTCAAAACATGAATTAGATTTGGGGAGCACTCTGACTCATTAATCTCTCACTGAAAATACTAAGGTGAAGTAGGTCAGAAATATAAAATGTTTTGGTTATTTTGTTTGTTTTTGAGAATCTGGTAGTTATACGTGGTGTTAACTTATTTGGAAATGGACTATCCTTTTGACTGTTATAGATTCTGTCTTTCAGCCAGTCTCATAGAAAACTGCATGGAGCAGATGAAGCGCATTAATGCACAACTGAATCTAGATTCTCTGAGGCCTGGGAAGGCAGCACTGAAAAAAAAGGTAACTCTGAATTCTAAAATTCTGGGATAAAGGAATGCACGTATCCACAGACCATCTCTCTTAGTGCCCTGGTGCCTATAAATGAACACAAAGTTGAAGTAAGTGTCTGACTTAGAAGAAAGTTTGTCAGATAAATGAATGGTATTTCTACATTAGGAGGTTGTTGGCATTTTTTTGGTCATAATTCTCACTTGAAGATCTTTAGATAATACTTATATATTATGTATTTTTGTTATTATAAGCATTTAGAAGTACCCACATGTGCTCGATACTATACCAGATAAAATTTTTATACTACAAAAAGAAAATCTATCTCTCAAAGCAAGCCCAGTTCACTAAGAATGAGATCCATAATGACTATAATTTATTAAGTGTTTACTATACACCAGGCACTATTCAAACATTTTGTGTTTATTATCTCATGAACAAACACTCATGACAGCATAGTTATGCAACTGGTGATTGATGAAACCAGTATTTGCTGCTATGTTTAGGTGGTTGCAGAGCTGGTATTCCTCATCTCTGTTTATATCCTTCTGTGGCTTCTGAATGTCTCTTCTAGAGTTGAGTCTGCAAGACTCAAGTTCAAACTAAATGTTCATGTAAACTTGTATTAACATGGTTATTATACAATATCTATGGTTAATAATATCTACCACAGAGGCTTATTCAGAAAGTGAATGTGTCTGTGTTTGTATAACTATATAAATATACATATATGTGTGTGTAGGTAGGGCTATTATAGCAGCCCTCTATGTAGCAACTAGTTTCTACTGCATTTGATAAGAAATAAGACAAAGCCTTATGTAATAATTTAATTGATACAGGGTTTGATTATGTTTGTCAGTTTCTTTTCTTGCCTCTTTTTCTTTTTCTTTAGCCTAAGGCCCTTACTTTATCATTGAGAAAGTCAGCCAAAACTTGATATGATTGAAAACCAGTCAGTACCCGCCTCACTTTATTGAGATGAAACATGGAGGCTATCATATATCCAAGTTCCATGCTTGATAGAACAGAAATAGCTTTTTCATAGTGGATGCGCTTCTTGAGATATGGTCATCTTTTAGTGATCATTAGCTTGTCAGTCTCCTCAATGTTACGGTGGTCAGATGTGATTAGAGCACAGCTGCCTTGTACTGTGACCCAGAGGGGAAGGAATTACTACATATAAAAAGTGGAGTATGCTGTTGCGTTCACATTTTCCAACTACTTTTTATTTAAACAGGATGGTTTTATTAAAGAGTTAAGCAGTGCCATGCAGCTCCTAAGAAACTGTCTTTATCAAAATGAAGAATGTAAAGTAAGTAAAGCTTCTTCTCAGAATTCTAATAGCAGTGCAGGTGTTGAGCAGTTTAATTTTTATATGGCAGGCATACAGGAGGAGAATGGAAAACTATTTGAATTTTCTTTTTTTAGATGCTCACTTAGCTGGTCCTTAAACTCAGTGGTAATTCTCAGAAATGGTGTACCCAGTCTCATTATTCTTCAGTGCTGATTGCATTTCTTGTTCATATCAGTGTTTTAACTTTAACTTTATCACTGAAATATCTTTAGCTTCACAAATTTTAGTCTCATTATGTACTGTTATGCGTTTCAAATGTTTTTTTACTTGGATGGAATGAATGGATGGGTGTGTCTTATAAGGTGGATTCTTTCAAAGG